CCTTCTGTAGGTGACCCTGCTTCGGCAGGGGGGTTGGACTAGATGACCCACAGAGGTCCCTTCCAACCCCTACTATTCTGTGATTCTGTGATTCTGCACAACACAACAGCAAAAACCCAGAAGAGCTCTACTAACAAGACTGGCTTTGCCAGTGACCACTGGGAAGTCAAAGATTTTGAGTCCCCAGAGTCAGGTCATCTAGCCTAGCACACTCAGCTAGACTCTCCGTATAGCCCTGACACATCCTGCGGGCACTTTGTCCCAGCCTGACAGCACTGCCTAAGACAGGCTTACGTGGTACCACTGGGAGCAGGGTCCCACAGAAATGCAACAGCTATTTCATACGTAACCTGCTGCTGCCAGGGGATGCTGCTTTACAGTGCAGATATTACAGCTTCCCTGGGAATGGGAGATCAGGGCTTGCTCCCCAGCCTGAGGGGAGAAAACCCCCAGCTCTCATGCCCTGGAAGAGGCCCCAGCCATCCCTTGCTCTTCTTGCACGGTCTTCTAAACCCCAGGCTCTGAGCTGCCAAGACCTTTCTGTCCCCTCCTTGATGAGGACAGATAGCCACTGGGCTGCTGGACACCACATGGGACCCCAGCACCCTGGGGAGCACATCTGCGCTCGGGGTCCTGCCGGAGGGAGCAGCTCCTCCCCCCCCAGCACCCCTGCCTGCTTCCTGGAGAGGCAGGAGTTGGGATGCACCCCTGCGCTCCCCGCGTCCCACTGGCTGGCTCTGGGCTCCTCCTGGGCAGGGTGCAGGGTGTTTCTGTCAGCCTCCCCGTGCCCTGCAAGTGGAGCCCAGCAGGGAGCTCTGGATTTGGGCTACAACAAAGTGGGCACTGGTGCTGTAGCCCTCCTTGGAATGGGTTTTACAAGCAAAGGGCATTGCCTGATGCTGAATATTACATCAGATCCATGCACCATTTTTCTAACTTTGCCCATGTGTTATCCACTGAGCTCTTTTAATAACCAAAATGCAATGACCAAGGGAAGAATGTGTTTAAATCTGACAGGATTTAAAGTAGCTCACATGACAGTGCCCTCTCCCTAAAACTAAATCAGTCTCTCTCCAGGACTACCAGCAAATCCCCCTTCCCCCCCACTCTATCAGCATTGTGCAGGCATCCCTCCTACCTCCAATGCTCTGATAAAGGTATCACTGTGTTTTTTTGAACTGTGCAAATGTGTAACTGTGCAAGGTATTTGTGATGAAATGGATGTGCTGGACTGAGGGTGTATCGGGCACAGAGGATCTGGGACTCCATGCTCAGGTGATCTGTTTGTACATATGTCCAATTATTTGTATAGATATGGCTAAATAGGGGATTTTTCTGTCAGTGGTAGGTAGGAAAAAACCTGTGGGGGCCATTCCTATATCAGAGTTGTCTTTCCTAGGGCTATAGGCATGGGAGAACCTGGGTAAGCTAAGTTGCCAGCAAAAGAAGGAAGCATCTCCTGCTCACTGGCACTGACCTGCAGATCAGAAGTCTCAGCAGGTGTAACTCCTCCCATAGAACAAGGTGGTGCACAGGGTCACAGCAACATTTTGTTGGAGAATCTCCCACTTATTTGCAATCTGAAGTGTGTGCAGAGAGACTCACATGCACATGCATCTCTGTATGTGTGCATGTGAGTGCACTCTTCCAGATGTCCTTGAAGCAGCCTCACACCTCTGTCAGAGGCACCAGTTTAACAGCCCAGGTAGAACCCAGCCTCTCACTGCTGCGGTGTTTGGCTGACCATCCTGCTGTGCCTGCAGCCCTCGTGAACTGTTATACATCTGCACTTCTGCTTTCAGGATTTTACCATCACGACCTCCAAAAGCTTTTAATAATGCTAATTTATCTTTTAACATCCTGTTTTATCTATTGTACAGCTGGGATATCTGCAGCGCAGACATACCAAGCAATCCACTCTGGGTCATAGTGAGTCGGTGGGAAAGCCAGCAATAGAATCCATAAGTCCCGCATCCAAGTTCTCGAAGTGCCTTGACTAGTCCAGATTCCCTCCTTAACACCCTTGTCGGATTGTTTATAGGAGATGTATTCATATAGTCAGTAAGACATCAAAATTTTCTAATTATATCTAGACATGTCAAATGACAATTATGCCCTTAGTTCAGTTTGCCAGACAATGCTTTACTGAAGAAGGTTTGCCAAAAATTTTTTGACCGAAGAAAGAGTAGGCATCTGTAGCATCTGCAGACTAGATCGTATAAAATGTCCCTGCGACAAGTCTGCCCTGTCTCCACGGAAAGCTGTGCAGCAGCAAGTAGGGAGTTGCCGTTTCTGTTTTACAGTACTGACCAGCTGCCAGCCTGCAAGCCACCCATCTGGTGTCACGAGAGGTAAGGACCTGATTTATTATTTCTTAGAGGGCAGAGAAAGATCCTTCTGGGTGGGATTTCTGCAAGAGTCACTGTTTCGCCCTGTATTCAAACCTGGTGTGATTACAATAGAAGGCGGTGGGGTGCCCAGGGTTTTCAAGCTGCATTTGAAGTCTCTGGCCACTTATGGCAAACCAGAAAATCCCCATGGGGAAATTCTTCACTTCTGCTTAACTGGCCTAACAGGGATCAAGGTGTGCTGGCTTCCCATCTTTGCTATGGCAGCAGTAGAACTCGACCAAGATAAGCACAGCAGGAAAAAGTGCAAACTTCTGCATTCTACCTGAGAATGTATGAATTAATAAATCATCTGAGCATAGAAACATTCTAACCACATATGTAAAATGCCAGAGCCCTCTTAGATACCCATTTTCTTACTCCAGACAAAAAATAATTATTACCTAATGAATAAAGAGGGAATAAATTTTACTAATGTAGCTAGAGACTTTTCAGGAGCAGTTGGCTAAATTGAACTACCTACATGATTAATAAAGCATCTGAAGAAATACATTTATTTTTATGAATTTTTGAGTACTCACCTGTTCCTAGATTTTTTTCAGTAAATATTTATTTGGGATCTTAATATGTGCATAGCAATTCCAATTTCAATGCTTGAATTTTATTTAACCCAAGTCAGAACTGTGAGGCTGAAATTATTTAAATATTGTACTGAAGAATGACAAATGCGTAAAACAAATTAAATTATAGCAGAATATTAAAAGGTCACAAAGCCTGCCCTTTTCTTTCAACTGACAACTTCATTAGCAAAATTCATTGATTTCCTACTACCTTTCTGTTACCATTATATTTAATAAGTATATGTCCCACAGGTTTAGTGTTTTCCAAGACTATAGGTCACATAAACTACAGTTTTTCAGCAATGTTCCTTCACTGTTCATCCTTTTAACAAAATGTCCTAATTCTATTTCCATTCCTAACAGTGACGTGTTAGTGAAGTTTGCTCAGCACATTCACTCTTACCTTACAGACACAGTATTCTTAAAGCACCAAGCCCACAGTTCTGACAGGTCTTTAGAAGTTGCTCTCCTAAATGTCTGAAGATCTAGATTACATCAGTGAAAACCTCTTATTTTCTAAATTGACCTAAAAATGAAGTCTCTAGTTAGGTCATGTTAGATGTTTCAAATACTCAGAGTCTCAAGAGAAACCAAGGTGCAGGATATAAAACCTTTCCCAGCCTTACAGAATAGATGTAAATAATCAGTGCCATATTGTTCCTCCCTATTAGAGTCCTCTGCTGACATACCCGCAGTAAAGTGCAGACATGGCCTCTGGAGACTCTGAGATGGCTGTCTTTGGGGAGGCAGCTCCCTTTCTCCGAAAGTCAGAGAAGGAAAGGATTGCGGCCCAGAACAAGCCTTTTGATGCCAAGACATCGGTCTTTGTGGCCCATCCCAAGGAGTCCTTTGTGAAAGGGACAATCCAGAGCAGGGAATCAGGGAAGGTCACTGTCAAGACTGAAGCTGGAGAGGTGAGTGAAAAACAAGGCTGAAGGCCACCATTTGATTCCCGCTCTGAGCTTTAGCTGACATATATGGATATTTCATTTCCCTGGCAGACACTGACCGTGAAGGATGATCAGGTCTTTTCCATGAACCCTCCCAAGTATGATAAAATTGAGGACATGGCCATGATGACCCACCTCCATGAACCCGCTGTGCTGTACAACCTCAAAGAGCGTTACGCAGCCTGGATGATCTACGTAAGTGCCCGCCGCAGTCTTCCTTTGGGTAGCTAGGAGGAACTGCTCTTCCAGGCTAAGTGGAAGCCAACATGCTGTCTCCCTTCCTCACAGACCTACTCCCGGACTTACTCGGGTCTTTTGTGCGTCCCTGTCAACCCCTACAAGTGGCTGCCGGTGTACAACCCGGAGGTGGTGTTGGCCTACCGAGGCAAGAAGCGCCAGGAGGCCCCTCCACACATCTTCTCCATCTCTGACAACGCCTATCAGTTCATGCTAACTGGTGAGTGTTTGACCTCCCTCACAGCAATCTAAATGAAAAACGACCACTAATCTCAGCGCAGCATGTGACAAGCCAGCTAAAAACACCACAGAGAAGTTTGACTGAGGACTTGATGGAGTTATGCAGGGATGAATTTCAAGTGAAACTGACCCAGAAGCATGAAAGCAATCAGCACTGTGTATGATTTGCATGTTATGGTACAAAATTCCACCACAGAAATAGTACTTGACTCAGTTGGCTACTTATTTTCACTGATAGGAAACAAAAAGTTATTATTCAGTACAATCCACTACTTTGAACACAATTAGGCAGTTTGAGTAGATTTCTTGGTGAGAACTGTGTGAAGGGCAAGTGGAAGCACAGCTTTTCTCAGGACCACATACCTCTGACAGCTCTGTGCCTCAGTTGGGGCCTATACTTACTACTGTTATTATCTGGAAGGGAATTGGGCACCTTGGACTTTCTAAAGAAGTTGCAGTTACATTTACAGCTTTACTTCTCATTCAGCTCACTGTTACCCAGATCAACTGCTAACACTGTCTTTCATTTTGCCACTTTCCCAGATCGCGAGAACCAGTCGATCCTGATCACGTATGTACTCTCTCTGCTTGGGTCCCTGCGGGGCTGCCGGGTGCCAGGGGACCTCCTGCCTGACCACACGCTCTCTGCTTCTCTCTTTGGTTTGACAGCGGAGAATCCGGAGCAGGGAAGACTGTGAACACAAAGCGTGTCATCCAGTACTTTGCAACAATTGCAGCGAGCGGGGAGAAGAAGAAGGAGGAACAGCAGTCAGGCAAAATGCAGGCAAATTAATAGATGCTGGCTTGAATCAATGCTTTACTCTGTTCCTGATGTGATTTTTGAAAATGTTAACCAGCAATAATTATCATCCTGCAGGGAACGCTTGAGGATCAAATCATCAGCGCCAACCCACTGCTGGCGGCCTTTGGAAACGCCAAGACCGTGAGGAATGACAACTCCTCACGCTTTGTAAGTTATTGCTTTGGACAAAATCTCTCCTCATAATAGTAGTGGTGGGCTAGCCGTATTCTCACAGATGGCAATGAAATACATCCAGGCTGCAATGCTTCTTCTTCTGCTTCACAGGGCAAATTCATCAGAATCCACTTTGGAGCCACAGGGAAATTGGCTTCTGCTGACATTGAAACTTGTAAGAGACTCTCCTGGCCTGATCCCATTCCCTCCGAGATTCCCATGTCTACATGCAGTCTTGTGCCTGACTCTTTCTCCGTTCCTTGGCAGATCTGCTGGAGAAGTCCAGAGTCACTTTCCAGCTCAAGGCGGAAAGAAGCTACCACATATTTTATCAGGTCACCTCCAACAAGAAGCCAGAGCTAATTGGTAGGAGGCATCACAGAGCTTCTTGGAGGAAGTGCACTGAGCAGCATTTAACTACATTACAAAGACAATGAAATTTAACTCATGAACCCATTTTTTTTCAGAAATGCTCCTCATCACCACTAACCCGTATGACTACCCTTTTGTGAGTCAAGGTGAGATCACTGTTCCCAGCATTGATGACAAGGAGGAACTAATGGCTACAGATGTAAGTAACTTAAAAACCAGTTCAACAGACACAGGTCATACATCACATAACATGCAAATATTTCACTTTGGTAATTGTATTACCAGAGTGCTATTGACATCCTGGGCTTCACTGCTGATGAGAAGACGGCCATCTACAAGCTGACAGGGGCCGTCATGCACTACGGGAACCTGAAGTTCAAGCAGAAACCAAGAGAGGAGCAGGCAGAGCCAGATGGCACAGAAGGTATTATCAAACTCAGTAATTAACCCTTCTGTAAGCCACTATGGATGTGGAAGACAGCAAAAGTTGTTTTTTGTTGGACTTTAGGATCCCAAGGTGAACAGTAAGCCAGAAAAAAACTATCCTTTGTCCTGTTCTCAGTACGTGAGGTTCCCTGATCTCAGGATGTTTGTATCTTATGCAATGAACAATTAATAGGTTAAACTGTCCTTTATACACTTCTAGGAAGTCAGGAGCAATGGATGTCCTTCCTGTAACATTATTAGTTGTACCTTTGTTGGAATATGGCTTGCAATTGTGAAACAACCAAGTGGTTCGGTTCTAACAGGATGAGGGGTCATGTTCCCGTTTACCCTCACTTGTGAGGTGCTCAGGGAACTCTGGTGTGAGAGATGTATTTGATTCCTCTCCTTTGTTGGTGCTGGACCTACAAGTCACATCTCCAGCTCTCTGAGCCATGGCTCCTCTTGCTAAAGGACTAGGCTGAAGGTGGGAAGTACCATAGGTAAAAGGATGAAACCCAGAGAGTTTTACTGAACATCAGAACCCAAAGCTCAGAAAGGGTTGTAGACTTTAGATCTGAAAAAAACCCAGAGATATCCTCTCTGTGTGCCACCCTAAATACTGGGTGGTTTCAATCACCTGAATGTAGATCAGTACCTGACTTGTCACTGCAGCTCCTGAGCTATGCAGGTACTACAAGTATTCAGACTGGCAAGCTGCAGCTTTCAGTTTTGGGCCAGGAGATTTCTGAAGACATCATTACTTCCTGGATGCTTTAGTGAAGATTTTCAAACACAAATTCTGTTAGAAAAGCTCAATATGCATAATGATGACTTTGATGTTACCAAGATTCCCACTATGAGAGTCTATCGATAGATTTCAAAGAACAAAAATCAGAACCCTGAGAATGCTCCAGGATTCAAAGTCGTGTGACACTAAATTCTTCCTTTTTTTTTCTGTCTTTTTAGTGGCTGACAAGGCTGCTTACCTTATGGGTCTGAATTCAGCCGACATGCTCAAGGCACTGTGCTATCCCCGAGTCAAGGTTGGGAATGAATATGTGACCAAGGGTCAAACTGCACAGCAGGTAAGAATCATGTGGTAACCTGGAACTGTGTTTTGAGTTAAGTTCCTTTCGGTTCTCCTCTGCTTTGTCTGGTAACTTTAGGCATTTATTTTTCTTATAGGTGCACAATGCTGTAGGTGCTCTTGCAAAGGCTGTCTATGAGAGGATGTTCCTGTGGATGGTTATTCGCATCAACCAACAGCTGGATACCAAGCAACCCAGGCAGTACTTCATTGGTGTCCTGGACATTGCTGGCTTTGAGATCTTTGATGTAAGTAAAAAAATTTGGTAAGAGTTATTTGGAAGTAACAATTGGATCTTATGATCACTCCGAGACCTTTTTTTTTAAAGAAGACATAATATTCTTTGCAGCTATTTGCCTATTTTGTCATGGAGTAAAAAATGACCTTTCAAAGGACTTGTCTTATTTCAAGATGTGCAAACTCAAAATTACAGAATGGTCCAATCAGAAAAATTCCTGGGTTTAAGCAATCAAGGACAAGACAGCATAAAAACATATACATCATGATAGGCCTAAGCTTGTTTTTTTTTCTCCCTTTAATATGATCTCGTATTATACAGAAAATATATTTTATCACCACATTGTTATAAATGAAAAAAAAAATCCTTGTGGACAATTAATTTGATGCCTTTCTCTGTTTTGTTAAGTAGACATAAAGCACACTGAAGAAATGCACAGACTTGACAATGAAGCCAAGATAAATGAATTCCTTGTTTTTAAAGGAGAAGGTTTTGCAATTATTGCTGCAGTTGGCAAATATGGGTCTTTCTTCTTTTATTTCCAGTTTAACAGCTTTGAGCAGCTGTGCATCAACTTCACCAATGAAAAACTGCAACAGTTCTTCAACCACCACATGTTCGTGCTGGAGCAGGAGGAGTACAAGAAGGAAGGAATTGAATGGACGTTCATTGACTTTGGGATGGATCTGGCTGCCTGCATTGAGCTCATTGAGAAGGTATCCTTCCTGTTCGAATGCATTACATGTGTGGAAATTCTGTAATTACTTGGTCTCATTTTTCAAAGGGATCTTCTGTGTTCGTTTCCAAATATTCAGCTCTTGTTATTCAAAATACCTTTCCCTATAGTTTATTTTTTCTGTCATGAAACATGAAGGAGATTTCACACAGTTCTGTGGCAACAAATCTGTACTGTTCTCTTTTCAAGTGCTGAAAGATTGTTAAATAAGAATGCTCTTCCAAAACAGCTAGAGTCAGTTTCCAGGTCAGCATGGCCTCCTCACATTTCAGCTCTAACCGACTTGTTCTTGTACAACAGAATAGCTATATCTTTGTAAAATTAACATAGAAGATGGATGTACATAACTGTCAGCACACAGTCACACATGTGCATCCTTTCACTGACAACGAGAAGACAGTCGCACTGCACGTGAGATGAAAAGTTTAGTGACTGGCAGCATGATCAGTAGTTAGAATCACAGAACTGCTGAGGTTTGAAGGCACATCTGGAGATCACTTAATTTTAACCCCCTTGGTCAAGGCAGGGACCGTGAGAGCAGGCTGCTCAGGACCATGTCCAGTTAGATTTCGAGTATCTCCAAGGGTGGAGACTCCACAGATACTCTGAGGAACCTGTTCCAACTTTTGATCACCCTCACAGTAAAGAAGCTTTTTTCTTCTGTTTAAATGCAATTTTGTTTATTTCAATTCATGCCTGTTCCATCTTGTCCTCTGACTAGACACCACTGAGAAGCCTCTAGCTCTGTCTTCTTTATCCCCTCCCATTAGGTATTTATCCACATTGATAAGATCCTCCAGAGCTCTCTCTTTTCCAGGCTGAACAGCCCCATCTCTCTCAACTTGCCCTTGTATGTCAGAAGTACCAGTCATTTAAATATCTCCATGGCCTCTCACTGGGCTTACTCTAGTATGTCCATGTTTCTCTTGTACTGGGGAGCCGAGAACTGGACACAGGAATCCAGATGTTTCTCAGCAGAGCTGAGTAGAGGGGAAGGATCATCTCCATTGAGCTGCTGGCAGCACTCTTAGTGCAGCCCAGGATGAGTTGGCTGCCTTTGCTGCAAGGGTGTATTGTTGGCTTACGTTCGATTTGTCTGACATCTGTGTGTGCTTTGAGTGTCTCTGGATAAGACCCTAGTAGTCTTATTTTATAAAGCATGTTCTCAACACAAACTGAATGAATTTCCATTAATCTTTATGATTCATTTGGTGTTAGAAAATGTAAGTATCAATATGTTTAATCTTACTTTCTAATAGAAAATGTAAATGAATAATAAACTTTCCTGATGTGTATCTCAGTCTGTGTTCCACCACTGTGCCTGGGTGAAGGTCATTGTTGCCCTGAAAATGAAATGACAGTCTGTTTCCCTTGTGCATTTCTTCCAGCCCATGGGCATCTTCTCCATCCTGGAAGAGGAGTGCATGTTCCCCAAGGCAACTGACACCTCTTTCAAGAACAAGCTCTATGACCAGCATCTGGGCAAGTCCAGCAACTTCCAGAAGCCCAAGCCTACCAAAGGCAAGGCTGAGGCCCACTTCTCCCTGATACACTATGCTGGCACGGTGGACTACAACATCACTGGCTGGCTTGAGAAGAACAAAGACCCCCTGAATGAAACTGTCATTGGGTTGTACCAGAAATCATCACTGAAAACATTGGCCTTACTCTTTGCCAACTATGGTGGAGCAGAAGCAGGTCGGTTCTATGAATCCCGTATTTTCACTGATGTACAGCTTACAAAAAGGAATCATAAAAGGCAAAAGCAAAAATCTAACACCTGTTTTATTTATTTTCAATTTTGCAGAGGCTAGTGGTGGCAAGAAAGGTGGGAAGAAGAAGGGTTCTTCCTTCCAGACTGTCTCAGCTCTTTTCCGGGTACAGTAGAGAGTTCACTGTTTCTTCCTAAAATGAGGAGTAAACCCCCCATTTAAAATGGCTAGTCTTTTTTTGGCTTAGTTGTGTTAAAAGACCCTGAAGTTCTTGGGCCGTATTTTGCGAGGAGTAAATCCACTGTAATCTATCTATGCTCCGTTCCACTGAATGCACAACTTTTCTTTTTGTCCACTTGCCCCAGGATGACTTTTCCAGATGGAAGAATGTCATGCAGAAATCTTCTAAAATATGCCTAAAATATACCTGATTTCCATCAGATGCCCACTTCTGGCTTCGGAACCTTTTATTGCCCTTTAACAACATTCTTCCCACTGGTCTGGAGGATGACCTGTTTGCCCCATTTATATCTCTAGTTTTTCTGCATGATTCAGGGATCAACTTCTTTTAGTTGAAATGCCACCACTTCTTGGGTTATGGATTTCTGAGATGTCAGATATTCGACAGTTATTTGTCATAAGCAAGTCTTACTGCCTGGCTGTTCCATACATTTCTGCCAGGTGAAATACCTAGTCTTTCCTGAGGTTATTTATTACCATATTCATCCTTCATTTAGGACTCTCTTCTTGATATAGACTAGTTTCTTCTACAGATCTGCTGTCTTATGATTCTTGATCACCTGACAGCCTCTAGGCAGTGCTCTGAAATGGGACATGGGCACAGGTTTATATGCCCCAAGAAAAATAATCATAGCTGTAATGCCTTGGCTTTGCAAGTGGGAAATTATTGCCAGCAAATATCATTCAAAAAAATGCAATAAGCCTATGTTTAAAGGTCATAAGACCTTAAGAGGTAATGTTATAGGAGAAATACTACTTGCTGCATTTGGGTCCAATTTCTGTTATGTTTTCAAAATTTCTTCTACTATCCCTCTTGTTTAGACATGTTAATGTTTAGACATCTTAATGTTTTGGCTGCTTAATTTACGTACTCTGACATGTCCTCTGGAGACACCTGCTTCCCTCCACTAATTACAGGCAAAAATTATTTATAAATAAGTATACAGATATTAATTACAAAACAAGACTAGGATTCATCTCACCTTATTCTCATTTTACCTTACAAGGTAAACATGTAATCTAGTCCTATAAACCTCAACTTCAGCTTGTCATTTTTGTTCCCTTTGGTTTCAGTGGGGTACACAGGAAGGTTCTATGTAGGGTGCCTCATATGACCCATCTTAAATTCCTACTGTAGTACTCTTCAAACTGCCTCATAGATGTACCAGTTTATCTCTCTGGGTACATCCAATGGAAGATGGATTTAATTTCTAATAAAAGCATTCCACTAGAATCAGTGAAATGTATTAAAATTGTATGCTTAAGAGTATGATATTTCCGACAGATTAGTCAGAAGAACTTTATCCATTAAGTTAATAACAGCAGAGATCAGTGGAAAGTCTGAAAAACTGGTGCAGGGGGCTTCAGTTCAGGGTTCTGCAAGCTAATTTTTGTCTGGTATCTCATTGTCTGACTTCAGAGGGCTTGATGCTTATAGTGGAAATTACATTTGCTAATATAAATTTTTGTTACTGACTCTCCCAGGAGAATTTAAACAAGCTGATGACCAATCTGCGAAGCACCCACCCCCATTTTGTACGCTGCATCATCCCAAATGAAACAAAAACACCTGGTAAGAGACTCACACATAGAAGGTTTTCAGTGTGGTGCAGCTCTTCCTCTCTGTATTACGGAATATAGCATATATTTGTGATCTGAATTGCTAGGTGCCATGGAGCATGAACTGGTGCTTCACCAGCTGCGATGTAACGGCGTGCTGGAAGGGATCAGAATTTGCAGGAAAGGATTTCCCAACAGAGTCCTGTATGCAGATTTTAAGCAGAGGTCAGACTTCTTGCCCTTACTGAAACATTTTGTCAATCTTGAGTACTTTGTGAAATTTAAGTTTCACCTGTGGTGACTAAAGCCTTCTCTAAAGTTTATGTTTAGCAGTGCTGTTATGTTCTCAACAGTTCTTACACTTTTTGTTGTAGTGTACCAGACAATTGGTCTCAACAACAAACCTAGTTATAGAAACATAGAATAATTAATGTTGTAAAAGCCCCTTAAGATCATCAAGTCCAATGGAAGTCCTTCTGTTTTCTCCCCCAGATACAAAGTATTAAATGCAAGTGCTATCCCAGAGGGACAGTTCATTGACAGCAAGAAGGCTTGTGAGAAACTTCTTGGATCAATTGATATAGACCACACTCAATACAAATTCGGTCACACGAAGGTACAAGAACTGCATGTTTCAAATACTATGTGTTTTTGGTTTGCATGGCTTGAGAATGATAGTCATATTCTCCAGATAGTATTTGAAATGGTCAAATAGCATATTTAAAAGAAATCAACTAAGTATTTAGTACTTGAACGAAACTGAAATTCATTGCCATAGAATGATTTAATTAAGGGCTAATTAAGGGTTCCTAATTGAAGATGAAGTTGTAGAATAAAAGAATTAAGGCTTAATAAAAACAAAGGCAAAATGTCTGGCTTTTATAGTTCCTCAACTGCAGGTAACTGGAAGGTTGGACATATAAAAGAGGATCTATCACTACATACATTTTTTGTGCTGTTGCTCTTTCTCTTAACTTCCCATATTACATGCCATGGGGGACAGGGTACTGGGCAACACGGAACAACAAGCACATACACTGCACCTCTTTCCATGTTCTTACCTAAGGTATTCTTCAAAGCTGGGCTGGTAGGCCTCTTGGAAGAGATGAGAGATGAGAAGCTGGCACAGCTCATCACCCGCACACAGGCCAGGTGCAGGGGCTTCCTGATGAGAGTGGAGTACCAGAAAATGGTGGAGAGGAGGTAGACATTTCTTCAAATTAGGTTCACTGTACGTGCCTTATTGTGTCATCATGGTCTAAATATTTAATATTAATTTGACTTACCTTTTAGAGAGTCCGTTTTCTGCATCCAGTACAACATTCGTGCATTCATGAATGTCAAGCACTGGCCCTGGATGAAGCTGTTCTTCAAGATCAAGCCCTTGCTGAAGAGTGCAGAATCTGAGAAGGAGATGGCCAACATGAAACAAGAGTTTGAGAAAACCAAGGAAGAGCTTGCAAAGTCTGAGGCCAAGAGGAAGGAGCTGGAGGAGAAAATGGTGAAACTGGTGCAGGAGAAAAATGACCTGCAGCTCCAAGTGCAGGCTGTGAGTAGTGCCAGTGTGCCTCATCCTAACTGAACTGTGACTATGAGGCTCCTATGTACAACTACATTTTCAAAAGAGACATAGAAACTGCAATTTACTTCAATCCAATTGTATTTCGTTAAGTGATGCTTTTAAAAACAAAACCAGCTTCGGTAAGGACTGTCAGGAGGCTCTAGTCAAGATATTACATGGGTGGGACTTTTCAGTGGTGTGATGTGTTCTGAGGTCTCTGTCATTTACATTCAGTTAAACTGCATCAGAGCAATCAAGAAACTTTACTTTTATTAGTATAATGTTTGTTCTCCTAGTAGTTCTTTACTACCTCTCCAAAACTGGGTATGCCTATCCTTACACACACATGATTAGGAATTCTAAGGACGAGTTAAGAGGACATTGGTTTCCTCTCTTTGTTCTCCAATTCAACATGATTACTGGTTTCCTTCCAGTGTAGGTGGTGGCTTCGCTGTTACAAACATTGCTGTGTTCTGATACCAAACTAACCGAGAGGAAACAGAATTTAATATTCTGACGTGCCCTCCTGAATCAGAATCATTACATAAAAGTATGTGGTACATCTGCAGTGCTGTAATACTGTGGTTTCTAAATTAAATCATTCACAGAACAGAAAAGACTGCATCTTCAAAGTAATACTATGCAGTGTGTGTGACATATAAGAAAATTAACATGCCTCTTTTTTAAAGAATCTTGAACTGTGAAAAGATGAAAAAATCCACTCATTGCTAAAATCATAATTTTTCTTTCCTATTATATCTGCTGGACTGAAACTTGAGACGAAATATAACAAATAGCACAGGACATCTGTTGCAAAAAAA